AAAAAAAGACTCAACATAATTCTAGCTACGATTCTAAAGTATCTACCTAATTATAAAGCATCTTAGTGAACACTGAATGATGTAAAAGTGTCCGCCTTTAAAAGTCAATAAATACACTTTGGGAGGCCGAGGCAAGAGGATTGCCTGAGCCCAGGGGTTCAAGACCAGCCTGGGCAACTTGGTGAGACCACGTCTCTACAATATATTCAAAAAAATTAGCTGGGCATGGGAGCGCATGCCTATAGTTCTGGTTACTTGGAAGGCTGAGGCAGAAGGATCACCTGAGCCCGGAAGAACAACGCTAGGGCAGCCGTGAGCATGCCACTGCACTCCAGCCTGGGCAACGGAGTGAGACTCTGACTCAAAAAAATAAAAAATAAATAAAAGTCAATAAATATATCAATGCCCAATTATTGGGGTAGGAGCTAAAGAGAAAAGAAAGAAAAAACACATGCTTTTATATAATGTTAATATGGTAGGAAAATAATGCTTCCATAAATAGCAATGTTTATTTTCTCATTTGTTTTCTGTCTCATAAATCTATAGCCCAGTGTAGGTATTATAATCTAATGAGAATGGGTGAAAAAAATGATGCTGTATCTAACAACGGCAGGAATGAAGGAGACCTTGAATGTACGGTAGTAATAAACAAGATTAAAATGTCTTATACCAAAAAAGTACAGTTTCAGTATTCATCTAATGAGGCCTCCTACAGCACACCAGCTGGTCTTGAATAACATTCAATATACACCCAAGAAAGTCTAAATATCTAAAACAATGACCGGAAAATGTCACCCTCTTCATCTCAACTTAAAACACCTACCTCTCCCTCTGGCCTTTCCTAACTACTCTATTTAAAATAATAACAACCTTCCTCCTCTGATCCCAGTCACTATCACAGTACTATCTTCACAACACTTATAATTACCTGATGTGTTATTATTTGTGCTTATATGTTTCTCCCAAATTCCACGAGCACAAAAACCCTGACAATCTTCTTCAGTGTTATAACTTCAGAATCAAGTAAAATACACAGCACAGAGTAGGCAGCATAGCACTTCTTAGTTGAATGAGTGAGTGACGAATGAATAATAAAGAGAAATCTATCTCCTTAGCTGGTGAAGTATGCCTAAATTTCTTATTGTAAGTGAAAGGAGAACCATTCTAGTGAGATATTTATCAACACTTATGGCCTCTAATGTGATTACCGCAACCAGAAGACAGGCCAGTAGACGCTCTATGACACCCTTTCTTTTTTTCTGTGACACATTTGGCATATTACAATTTCTCATTCTAAGAAAAGAAGAAAAGGGAGGGAAGGAAACTACATAATTGAAACACTTCAGCAAGAGTCAAAGAAATCAGTAGACAAAGAAGAGTATATGCTAGCATTCAGCTCATGATAAATATAGTTGCTAACATTCGTACAGCTAGAAATGATTATTAAAAAAGTGGTTTGGGTCAACTGACTATCACTACCTGAAAAGATATATGAAAACCATCCTGGCTTAAATATTTAGATAAAAAGAAGTTTTTAAGTGGAAAAAAATATATACATGAAAATATAACATTTTTTAACACTGGAATAAGGAACACTCTTCTAAACATAATACCAAACCAGAAATCATTTTTTAAAAATAGATAGATTTGAGCATATTTTTTAAAAAGTACAATTCTGTATGGCAAAAAGTACCAATAAAACACAAAAAATTAATGACACTTTCATATATATGACAAGCAAATGGATAATGCCATGTGTGTGTGTTCGTGTGTGTGTGTGTGTGTGTGTGTGTGTGTGTGTGTGTGTGTGTGTATCAACAAAGTTCTCCCAAGACAAAAAGAAAAACACAACCACCTAAAAAGGAAAATATGCAGAAGACAAAAACAGGCTTTTCATAAATAAGAAATAACAAGTGGTCAGTATTAAAAGAGACTTTAACTCACTGGTAACTAAAGAAATTCAAAGCAAAATAAGACATTTTTAACAAATCATAAATTACACTGGCAAGAGGATGACAATGTCTACATTGGTGAGGATTCAGAGAAAGGAGCCTAAAATTTTTACATACAATTGGTAGAAATTGGCTGAGGTGAGTGAATTGCCTGAGCCCACGTTTCGAGACCCACCTGGGCAGCGAGACCTCATCTCTATAATAAATCAAAAAAATTAGCCGGGCGTGGTAGCGCACACCTGTAGTTCCAGCTATTTGGAAGGCTGAGGAGGAAGGATCACCGGAGCCCAGCAGGTCAAGGCTGCGGTGGCCGGGAGCGGCCACCGCACTCCAGTCTGGGCGACAGAGTGAGACTCCAACTCAAAAAAAACAAAAAACAAAAAACAACAATTAGTAGAAATTGGGCACAACATTACCAAGGGCAGGTTTTATCGACAATTAAAATATATACTATAATTTTATAGTGAGAGAGATTTCCATTTTCATAATTTTTTAAAAAGGAAATAAAGAAAGAAACCCAGTTTTGTGTTAACCAAGTTCATCCTCCTGTGGCACTTTCCAAATTGTCAAATTGCATCATTCTCAACACCCTTTGTGGTCTTGTCTCCAGTGCTGTCACTCCTAAATCCTCCTCTAATCTCTCTGTCCAGCCCCTGAGGTAAACACCTCTGCCACCTACTCTTTTCACTCTCTCAGTAGGCATATCCTTGAGAACTGTGCTTTCAGCCCTGCTACTCTTTTCCCTCAGCTCTGGGGTTTTACACCAAGATCACACTTGGAATTCCAGCCATCAGTCATAAGCACATTTTGAAGTCTACTCTACCCATTCACATTCTTGTTTTCTAGTCTTCTCATATACCAGCAATACTACATGGCTGCCAAATTAACAGTACCATGTTGAGAAACAGTCAGAAATTTCAAAGAACACCCCCAGGGTACTCAAATCTTCACCACTCTTACTTGTACTTTCTACTGAGGTCTAGGGCTCTACCATCTAAGAAGGCTGTAGAAAGGACTGTGAGAGACCTTACTAGATAGCCAAGAGGATAATCTGAAGGTTGCAGGCTATGGGTAAGGTGGAAATTGCCTCTCCTGAGAAAGAAAAGGCTGAAAAGACATAACATAGTTATTGGGGCATAGAAAAGATTAGGCATAAATTGATGAGTGACTTTTCACCATCCCCAGTTAGGAACTGAAGGGGGTAAATGGTCTAAGCTTTTGGTTACATAGAGCAGTCCCCACTTAACCCATAAACATTCCTAAAAAGAGTCCAGAAAGACAGACCAGATTATTTCCCTCCATTCACTATTACTGTTGGAATTATCAAATACTGGCTTTGAAGCCTGATGTTTTCCTTATTGCCACTGGTAACATCTACTGTCTTGGTCAGGTGGATGCTGACTAACTGACATTCCACAAGATCAAAGAATAGCAAATTTTTGTTTTACCCAAAACAAAATACATGAAGACTTCTGGAAACAATGCTAACATGGGCAGTTTAAAAAAAAAAAACAAAAAACCTTTAAGGCATGTTTTGGATTGCTATGCATATAGACTGGCAATACGGAAAAGTGCCAAAAAGACTAAGCTCCTAAGGTAAGAAACGGTGTCCTCACAGTGAGAGTCACCAGAGACAAAGAAGAGAAGATGGCAGGGATGGCTCCCTTTCTCTGAACTAGTCAAACACTAGTTAGAAGTCTCTGAAATTAGGGGGGAAAAAACCCTGCTATTTACTGAGCCTCTCCTTTCCGCCAGGCACTGTATTCAATACTTGGGGATGCACTAGGTCCTCTAACTCTCACGTCAAACCCACAGAGAGGTGCCACGATTCCTAATTTTTATGGGTGCAGACACCAGTGATCAGAGAGGCACAAACTTATCACAACACAAATATTAAGTGAAACAAGGATTTGAGAAGGGCTTTAATGCCACAGCCCAACAGTTTTTTTACTACACAATGCTGATTTATATGAAGTTTAGTGTAAACTCAGAAAGAGGACTGGGTAATCTTACTCTCTCCAATTCATAGAGTATTTCTTCTATTGTGAATGTATTAGATGTAATATTTCATTAATACATGATACTCACATCCTTCAAAATTAAGTTCAAAATTCAGTATCCTGAAGAAAAAACAAAGTAACCTTTGCAAACAGTACAAAACCACTCTCGAAAGTTTTCTAGCATTCGTATGTTTTAATTAAGACACTGATTAAGAGTACAATGACTTGTACAGAGTAATGTTAAAGCAATCTCTCTTCATTACAGTCAGTGTCTTGACATCACAAAACTTGTACTAACATTTATAGAGTACTTTACTACATACAAGGTCACAGTCTGCATACTGTGCAAGAATACTAAAAGATTAGAATCCATACTCTTTGCCTTCAAGAGCTTGTAATTTTAGTATTAGAGGCAAGATAAACACACCAAGGACACTAAAGAACAAAGGTGACATACAAACATGCAAATTAACTAACATAAATGCAAATTGAACACTTACATGCTAAGAAAATAAAGTAAAGAATTATTTGCCCAGTGAAGTTCCTGGTAGAAGTGCAGTTAGAGTATTGTTTAGGAAGTCAATGAATGATTGTGAAGGTAAGAAATACCAAGACATCCTTGGATAATCAATAGAAACGTATTTTTAGATTCATTTTAAAACACTATCAAAATTCTAACCTAGCACAAAAGGCAATTTATAAAGAAGATTAATTAATTTAATAAGTTCAAGTGGTGATCACTATTTTTTAATTTTCTTAGTAACATAGATATCAAAATTCCTTCCTTTTCTTGGTATCTCTAACACCACTTTTGCTCAATTTTTCTCAACCAGAATTGCGAGTTGGTTATACCAAGACAAAAACTAGCATGATAAATACAACTAGGCTCTAATTACATAAAAGCTACATCAACAAAGTCAAGGCCACAAGGGAGAGACAAAATAAGCAAAGAAAAGTCTAAATAATGCCCATTAATAAATAAAGGCAAAGTATATTTTCTAGAAGTCAGAGATTATGACTGAAGGCACCTGTCTCCCTCCACACATACAGCAGGAGCTTGCAGGTGAGTACATCCCACAGACTGTCACAGCTGGTATTATATTCACGATGATGTGCTCTAGAAGTCATGTTCCTGTTGTTTCTAACTAAATGCAAACCCACAGGCCTTCGGTCCATATCAGATGCTTTGTTATGCCACCTGTGTTTTAATCAGACACAACAATAATAACCTGAGTCAATGCAGACTCAATCTCTTCCATGTAGGGACCCCTCTGTCACTCTCGAAGTATCCCTAGGCAGCTCTGCGAAATGGAATCTTCACTCAATTTCTTGTCCCTCTCATTTTAATCCATTCTACACTCCTCTGATAAAAGAGCAACTACTAGACCCGAGACACTTCAGTTCCTCTGTGGGGAAATGATATTGATTTTCTTCATTTTCACACTAGAGGATCCCTGGGTAACAATACTGTGTCCAGTCATACCCATAATTAAAAAAACGTAAGCAACATTCTTTACTGCACTAGAAGCTGAAAGGTTTTGTGAAGCTCCTGTGGCGGAGGTAGGAATTCAGCCTTATGCTGTTAGACCCTGAGTTTCACAAGGTTAAGGGTGACTTCTGATCAAGACATGAAGGGCTGGGGGCATCTCTATCTGTTCCTAAGCAGCCACAGGGGGCAGTCATGCAGGGTCAAGGGTGAGGGTGAAAGCTAGCTACACATTCTCCTGGTTTATGCCTACATATCCCTTCCCTTCTCTTCCTGCCACACCTGAGCAAACGAACTAATCACTTTCTGCCTTTGAATTTTTGACTTTAAAGAATTTGGGGTTTTGGGGGTTTTTTTTGAGTTAGAGTCTCACTCTTGTCACCCAGGCTGGAGTACAGTGGCACGCTCACAGCCACCCCAGCGTCCCTGCTGGGCTTAGGTGATCCTTCCACCTCAGCCTTCTGAGTAGCTGGAACTACAGATGCATGCCACCATGCCAGGCTAGTTTTTTTGTGATTTATTGTAGAGACGAGGTTTTACCAAGTTGCCCAGGCTGGTCTTGAACCCCTGAGCTCAGGCAATCCTCCTGTCTCAGCCCCCCAAAGTACTGGGATTATAGGTTAGCCCACTGCACCTGGCCAAGTAAAGAATATTTAAAAATAATTTCCAGTGGGGAAACAATTGAAAAAATAAAAATAAAAAAATAGAATTTCAAGAGCCTTTAACCACCTATACAAATTCATTAATTTATACAGGTTTTACAGAATTTTGGAATGAAAGTTTAAATGATGGCTTCTACCTAAAGAGAAAATTAAAACAGTAGCTTTTTGATACTTTTCACAAACAATCTTACCCAGGGCTACAATATCTAACAACGATAAAAGCAGAGGTGATATGGCTGAAGGGAGCCTGGAATCCCACTAGTTAAGCCTTGCTTGAACCAAAACCAACCCCACTTGAAACACCTGCTCTGTGAAACTCCATTTGATAACCACTGACCTAAAGAAAGAACATAGATATCCAGAACATGCACGCTGGCATTCAAAAATCTCCTCCTGCCCTGGGCACTGCCAGGGAAACCTCTACAAATATCTCTCAAGGCTTTCGTGGGAGGAATATATCCTGTAACAATAATTCTATTTTGTGTATAGCAATGTGAATACCATTCAATGCATAGCACAGAGTTTAAGAAGCATTTCCACCTCTCACGTGTTCCCTGTCCCTTCTCATTCATTCACATGTCTACTACATATTATGGTCCACAGTACACTCTAAATATCATGTTGCATAATTTTCTACATTTTCCCTAAGCTTTTTACTTGGGATGTGTTTGGTAGTTGACATCCTGAAAAACTTGTTTCCATGAGATAGAAAAATGCAGTCTGCTTCTCAAAGTCCCAATCTCCTTACATAAAAATCAAAATCACTTATTAAGCATCACAACTAACCTGCAGACACGGGCTGGAAAATATAATTTTTGCCAAGAACGACACAGATATTGTGAATGATCTATCACTCTGATCCAGTCAAGTTCATCCATTGACACCTCAATGAAGTATGAATAAGACCTATGAATCAAAAGGAAAAAGACAGGAAAAAAATACCATATTAAAATAACAATACAAAGCTACATTTTAATAAAATGTTAAAAGGTACCAAAAATATAGAAGTTGTTCATTACATTTTCCATGTAATCAAATTCTGATAAAAATGAAAGGTGTAGACACCCTTCTATTACAGCATTTACCCACAATGCACTGGAATTCTCTCTGAGCCTGTCTGATCAAATCATAAGCTGCTTAAGAGCAAGGACCATCTGTATTATCTTCATATCCCCAGTATCTTACACAATGCTTGGCATATCAGACATGCAAGATTTTTGCTCCCTTTCAAACATGGCCAGGATGCCTGGCCCATACCATATTAGATTAATAAAGCCATGAAAGCCGGGCTTGGTGGCTCAGCCTGTAATCCCGCGCCTTTGGGAGGCTGAGGTGAGTGGATTGCCTGAGCCCGCGGGTTTGAGACCCGCCTGGGCAGGCGAGACCTCATCTCTACAATAAATCAAAAAATCAGCCGGGCGTGGTAGTGCGTGCTTATAATTCCGGCTACTCGGAAGGCTGAGGCGGAAGGATCGCGAGAGCCCAGCAGGTCCAGGCTGCAGTGGCCGGGAGCGGCTACTGCACTCCAGTTTGGGTGACTGAGTGAGACTCCAACTCAAAAATAAATAAATAAATAAATAAAGCCATGAAAGAGAGAAAGAGCAGGAAATCGAGAAGCCAAAGGTGTGCCTTCTCGCTTGACCTTCCCTGGACAGTGTACTTAGCCTCCTCTCCCAGAAGAAAATCCAACTTTGGAATGGTACCCACAAAGGGCAACTTATCTCCTACTACCTCCCAGTCTCCCGCCATCCCATACATACAAGCAGCCTGCAAAAGAATAAATGATATGGGTCAACAGATAATGTGTGTTTCTTTTGGGTGCAACTTAAAACTTGCCAGCTAATAATCTGGCAGTAATGAAAATAGTCTACCATTCTCCCCTACTCAGCTACCCTGGACCATTACATGCGAGTCCTATACTGAACAAATCTATATTCCCCTGTCATAAGCCAAATTTAAATTTGAGATGCGGTTATTACTTGTACTTGTAATATCAACAGGAACAATCTTGGAAGATTTAAGTGACCATAAATGTCAGCCTGCAACCCACAGTTGTGACCAGAAAAGGTCAGCTTATTTTGTGTCATCCCCTCATTTTCCCCTCACTCCCATTCATTTTATCGCTCAGTCTCAAACTGGTTATAACCTTTTATTGAACATCTCTGGGTTATCAGTAATGCAGGATATAATTTTACAATGTCAGAATCTTTTTGGCTTAAGATTCTGAATTTTTCACCTTAGCTAAGAATGATAACAATTTCTGTGAGAAAAGAACAGTTATGTGGTAAAGTTAAGTCCCTGTGAATGCAACGCACATACTAAAACAAAGTGGCCTATAAATATTTAACATCACAAAAATGATAATTATGTTCAGTTTCAAACATACTAAACTTTTTTTTATCATTTTAATACTAATTGCATTATTAATTGAGTGAAATACATAAAGCTTTCAGAACAGTGTCTACCACATAAAAGTAATGAAAGTACTTTAGAAGTATTTTTATACTGTTATTATTAATCAGAGGCTCTTGGAAATGAGATATGTGAATTAGCTCCACTTTGCCAACTAAAAACATCAAATTATATCCAGTAAAATATATAAAAGGAAATACAGACTTAATAAAAAGGAAAAAGGAGGCCAAGTACAGTGGCTCATGCCTGTAATCCCAACACTTTGGGAGGCCAAGGCAGGAGAATTGTTTGGAGCCAAGAGTTTGAGACCAGCCTGGGCAACAAAGCAAGACCCTGTCTCTACAAAAAAAAAAAGTAGAAAAAGTAGCCAGGCATGGTGGCATGTGCCTGTAGTCCCAGCTACTTGGGAGGCTGAGGCAGGAGTATCACTTGAGCACAGGAGTTCAAGGCTGTGCTGAGCCGTGATCATGCCACTGTACTCCAGCCTGGGCGACAGAGTGAAATCATGTTTCAACAAAAAGAAGGAAACAGGAAGAGATAACCTTGGGACCTCAAACAATGAGAAATGCTGATTCCCATTTCATAAAGCTTCTCTCATAACTGACTCAAATGACTTAAAAGACCAATGATGCTAACAAGAAAAACCATACTACCTTACACAATTTGCGGAGCATCATTTCCACTACTAGTAAGTCCTTCACATCCAAAGAGGCATGAGTGGGGCCCACTTTCTGAGAATACGGGGTTTAGGTTAATGATAAACAGCAATGATGGAGAGAGTTCAGTTCTTGGTTACCCAAACTGCTCTGGTACTTCTGCCATCATGATGAACCCAGAAGCCACACTAGGTGAAAACACCACAGTGGCTGGAAGAAAGAAAGAATCCTGAAACCCCTGAGAAACTGTGTGAATATTCAGGCTATGGTGCATCAAATTTTTCACAAATTCCTTTTTTTTTTTTTTTTTTTTTTTTTGAGTTGGAGTCTAGAGTGCAGTGGCACGCTCACGGCCACCCCAGCATCGACCAGCTGGGCTCTAGCAATCCTTCCGCCTCAGGCTTCCAAGAAGCCGGAACTACAAGCATACACTACCACGTCCTGGATAATTTTTGATTTATTGTAGAGACAAGGTCTCACCAAGTTGCCTGGGCTGGTCTCAAACCCGTGGGCTCAGGCAGTCCACTCACCTCAACCTCCCAAAGTGCTGGGATTACAGGCTGAGCCACCAAGCCCAGCCAATTTCTTTTTTTTTAGAATGATATTCAACACAGCAAAAGACAAATTTTCTCTTCATCCATAGAACGAAATGCATTTTAAAAGTTATAATATGCAAAAGTAATGTATCAAGTAAATAAATAATGTTAACTCATATGGTAGAATACCAGATAACCATTAAAAATATCATTTTAGAGGAATTTTTTTTAAGAATGGACTATTCACAATGTATTCATAAAAAAGTTAAATTAGTCTTTTGTATATCTAATCTTTATTTATAAAACTATATTTATTCAGGTTTATTTTTGTGTGTGTATATGGTGTATCTACTCATAATAAAAAAGCTAGCTACATACATACAAAGATTGATAATGGTGATAAGATTACTAGCAACTTTTATTTTCTTCTATGTGTGCTTTTTTTTTTGAATCAGAGTTTCACTCTGTCGCCCAGGCTGGAATGCAGTAGCATGCTCACTGCCACCACAGCCTTGACCTATTGGGCTCAGGCGATTCTTCCACCTCAGCCTTCCAAGTAGCTGGAACTACAGATGTGAGCCACCACGCCCAGCTAATTTTTTTTATTTATTGTAAAGACGAGGTCTCACCATGTTGCAGCTGGTCTCAAACCCCTAGGCTTAGGCAATCCTCTCGCCTTGGACTCCCAAAGTGCTGGGATTACAGGCTTGAGCCACCATGCCGGGCCTATGTATGCTTTTCTATATTTTCTGTTTTCTACAATAAACACACATTAATTATTTTTATAAGCAGAATAAAACAAAAAAAGTACATGTCTTTTAAAGGAATATACCCTTTAACTCTGTCCCCAGATCTAGCCTTTAAAAGAAACAGCACAGGAGCCGGGCTCGGTGGCTCAGCCTGTAATCCCGCGCCTTTGGGAGGCTGAGGTGAGTGGATTGCATGAGTCCGCGGGTTCGAGACCCGCCTGGGCAGCGAGACCTCATCTCTACAATAAATCAAAAAATCAGCCGGGCGTGGTAGCGCATGCCTGTAATTCCGGCTACTCGGAAGGCTGAGGCGGAAGGATCACCGGAGCCCAGCAGGTCGAGGCTGCGGTGGCCGGGAGCGGCCACTGCACTCCAGTCTGGGCGACAGAGTGAGACTCCAACTCAAAAAAAAAAAAAAAAAAAAGAAACAGCACAGTGATCACAAAGAAATAAACCACCATAATCTGTAAAGCCAAAGGAGATGACCACAAAGCTAGGTCATTTCAATCAAACATTATGTCAGTTTCTCTCTAAGTCATGCTCATGACTCACCGGCTATCCCGATCCCATAGGAGAATCCGTATGTGATTGATAATGGACGGCTGACCTAGCTTAATCTCAATGCCTGAACGGCAGTCATCATCAATTGGATGCCTAGAAAATCCATGATCTAAATCATAATTTTGAGTATCACCATCTAATAAGGCAGACTTCAGCTCTCCTTTTACAACCTGGGCTCCATACTTCATAGTTGCAATGTTTTCTTCTGGTACTATGGATAAAAATAGAAAAAGCAAGGTTAATGGCTACTTATTAAAATTATTCTATATTTTTAGAAAAAAAAGATAAAAGCCTAGCAGTTTAGTTGATTCTAGTACCTGCATTTAACTTAAAAATAGCATGGGCAGGTTTATGAGGATAAAGGATATGGAATGTCTATGAGGATTAAGATAACATTTAGTTGAAATTTACTGTCACTATCACAGTCACAAAATGAATGCCTGGACTAATGTTATTTTTAAAAAGTTAATAATACTAGAAAAAGCATGTACTAGGACAAATCAGCTCTGCTAAGTTTATTCTATTAGTAGTTTTGATTTAATATCTACTGAGCAAAAATAGCATGTAAAATGATCTGTACCTGCCATCTGGACTGAGGACAACATATAAAAGCAAAGCAAACAGGTCAGACATCTGATAAAACAACAAAAAGAAAGGTTCCAATATAGCACAGCTGTTAGACATACATGGACGTGCCCAATTAATCTAGCTAAAAAAAAAAAAAAGATTATGTTTAAAGGAAAATATATTTTTACTTCATTTGAGAATTTTTAAAAATGAAAATTCAGGCAATCTGTCTTCAAAATCAGTATTATGGTTATTATTATTCCCCCTCCTCTCTCCAACATTAGATTTATTAAGTACCAACTGTGCCTGGGATGCTGAAGTCCTCTATGCAAATTATGCTTCACAGATCTGGCACCTGTCCTCCAGGTATTAACATTCTAAAACTGACACTCTCCATGGAGAGACAACAGGCTGCATAATGATGTTAACAGTTTGAAGAATCAGAGTTTAAACAGTGGCTCCAACTTTAACCAGGTGTATCACTTTGGAGAAGTTCTCACTCTACATTTCAATCCCTCAATAGGACCATATCTATTTCCCAGGTGTTTTTGCTTATTTTAAGGATAAGATGAGATTTGTAAAGCACATACTATGCTCTTTAAAATATAACAATTACCATTATGAAACATATAAAAACAGCACACAATAGTAAGAGAACTATGTAAATATACGAACTATAAACAAATACTGAATTCTCACAGTATACATACAGCTTGGCTGTGTGATTTGAATAGGGTAAGTATGAACTATAATCAGACTCTTAGGGAAAACAATGGTAAGTAATTCACAAATGCAGATTTCTTGGAATTTTTAAAAAATTTTACATGAAGACAGGTAAAGAGAGCAGCTCCAGAAGAGGACAATAAATGCAGCTGAAAAATGGAAGTTGGGGTGGAGTTTAGTGAACTAGCAAAGATTGAGGCAACTTAGCAAAAGCAAGCAAACAAAGAAACCCTCAAAATACTTGACTTCTTACCACCAAAGTTTAAGTTCTGTAGATATATAGTTTTCTAAATTCTATTAGCTGACAGTCACCCATATTCTTCCTAGTTATTTAACAAATCTTATATAATTCATACTATGCGCTAGACACTGTTCTAAGCACTTTGCTAATATTAATTCCTTTCATTTACTCCTCATACTAATCCTTTCAGTACAGTACTACTATTACATCCATTTTGCAGATGAGAAATGAAGGCAGAGAAAAGTTAGGCAGACTTACTCGCCCAAGGTCACACGCCGGTCAGTTACAGAGGGCAGATTAGAACCCAGTCTGTCTGCAGGGGCCCTGCGTCTACCACAATGTTCTGCCACCTCCCTCACGAAGGAGGTTTCTGGTGGATGCCCATAACTTTTCCCTTTTTCTAACCTCCCTCTAAGGTTGCCTAAGACCAGAGGAAGGAAACAGTCTGATATACTGACAAAAAATGTTGAACTTAAAGCAAAAAACTTTAAGCTAAGTTTAAGACTCAGGTTCTATCACTCACTACCCCTGAGTAAGTCATCTTAGTCTCTCAATCTGCTTTCTCATCTAAAAATAATAATACTTTGACAACTAAAATGAATAAAGTCTAAAATGAAAATGAAATTTCTGCCACAAGTCTAAATCTTCTTTTGAAGTTTATTTCACAAGTACTTGTAAACTTTTCAACCATTCTTGATACAGATTACTTCCCTGAGAGTATCTTTCACTACAAGATAGAGAACATTTATATAAGTGGAAATTATTTCAGGGTAACTATAATGTGATTGTCTCGCTAGATAAAAATACAACTCTGGGTCCTTCGGTCCCCTCCCACTGCGGGAGCTTTTCTGTCCTCTCAATAAATCCTGCTTTCTCACACACACACAAAAAAAAATCAAAGTATTTGTTGCAAAATCTATAGCTAAATGATGAGTTAAACAAGAAGAATGATCATGAGAAAAGTTAAATCATGATACAATAAATCAAATCATAGAATTCTTAGTGTCTATTTGTCTGTCAAGAGAAAAGAGCCCTAGGCCGGGCTCGGTGGCTCAGCCTGTAATCCCAGCACTTTGGGAGACTGAGGCGAGTGGATTGCCTGAGCCCACGGGTTCGGGACCAGCCCAGGCAACTTGGCGAGACCTTGTCTCTACAATAAATAAAAAATTAGCCGAGTGTGGTAGTGCACACCTATAGTTCTGGATACTTGGAAGGCTGAGGCAGAAGGATCGCCGGAGCCCAGCAGGTCAACGCTGGGGTGACCATGAGCATGCCACTTCACTCCAGTCTGGGCGACGGAATGAGATTCCAACTCAAAAAAAAAAAGAGAGAGAGAGAAAAGCTCTCAAAAAAAAAAAAAAGAAAGAAAACAAGGTGGAAGGGATTAAACAAAATAGTAGACACCAATCATAATTTTTTACATTTGTAATTTGTAATGCATCTTACAAGCATTGAGAAAAAAAATGAAGCTTTAAAGTTCTACAGGTAGGTAGAGATGAGCCAATTACTAGAGAAAAACTAAGAAGAAACAAAGCACGACCTATCCTTACCTATATAAAATCTGAGTAGTGCCAAAATCTAAATAGTGCTGGGTTGTCTTGTGTTTTTCTTTCACTGCTTTATGTTCTTAATCATCTTTTATCAAACTCTCTAGTACATGTAGGTTGAAAAGGTCATTCATCCTGGTGGACTATTTGGACCCAGACTAAGTTCTCCGCCTACTGCAACTACTTACCCTATTCCGTCACCTAAACCATCTTTCAGGGAAGTCGGGGAACACCAACTTCCCTGAAAACTGTGTGGCTCCTCCCTTCCTATGAGTTCCCCAAGAACTGCAGCATTACAAATGACTTTCTCAACAACTCTCATCTTACCTTAACTTTCCCCATTATCTCCATTCTCTGCAGGCCTCTTTTCTACATTTGACAATATAAGTACAAAATGAAAATTTTAAAAAGCAGGCTAAAGAATCTATGGAAGAGCACTTGCCTTGTGAGTCAGAAGACTAGAACTTTGGTTCCAGCTCTGACATCAAATTCACTTGGTAATTTAGGCAAGTAGTCACAGAGATCACAGAATTGAAAAGGACTTTCATCCTATTTACTTAATTTTTTTGGTTTAAATGTCATAAGCTGCCTCCTATGTGCTGGGCTCAGGTCTCCAGAGCTTACCAACTAAGGAGATAAGAGAACATATAAAGACACTCACTGCCTAGTGTCTACTAGTTTACAAATGAGATTTTCTCTATCACAGCAAACTAGTCAGGAAGATACAAGAGTAACAGGAGTCAAAGAGTTTTAAAAACATCAAGGGGCCGGGCTCGGTGGCTCAGCCTGTAATCCCGCGCCTTTGGGAGGCTGAGGTGAGTGGATTGCCTGAGCCCGCGGGTTCGAGACCCGCCTGGGCAGCGAGACCTCATCTCTACAATAAATCAAAAAATTAGCCGGGCGTGGTAGCACGCGCCTGTAATTCCGGCTACTCGGAAGGCTGAGGCGGAAGGATCACTGGAGCCCAGCAGTCGAGGTTGCGGTGGCCGGGAGCGGCCACTGCACTCCAGTCTGGGCGACAGAGTGAGACTCCAACTCAAAAAAAATAAAAAATAAAAAAAAAATAAAAACAAATAAAAAAAAATAAATAAAAACATCAAGGGTTCATTGTTGCTATTACTGTCTTTATGTGATAGGTGAGATACATTTAAATTTTAGTTTAGAATACAGCCAGGTGCAGTGGCTTCTGCGCATAATCACAGTTCTTTGGGAGGCTGCTTGAGTACAGGAGTTCAAAACCAGCCTGAGCAAAAGAGCAAGACTGCATCTCTACAAAAATCAAAATATTAGCTGGGAGTGGTGGCACACACCTGTAGTCCCAGGTACTCAAGAGGCGTAGGTGAAAGGATCACCTGAGTTTATGAGTTCATGTCAGTGAGCCATAACTATACCATATAACTCCAGCCTGGGTGACAGAATAAGATCCCCAATTTTAAAAAAATAGTTTAGAATGAATGAATTCATTCAGCTACTCATTAATTTTTTTTTTTAAAGTCTAGATTCGGACACTCTGCTAGGTGCTGAAAAAACACAGGCAAAAAGACCTAATTACAATCCTCAAGGAGCTCAGGCTGGTAGGAGTCTAGGCAAGTAAACCAACAATCATAGACTCACAGTGGCAAGTTCCTTCAGTCTGAGGAATGGAAACTACAGGACTAGCTACAGGGGTAAACAAGAAATATTTAAACACACATTTATCTATTAACCAGTAACTTGGCAATCCTATGAACAAACTGACTTTTACTCAATAAAGAAATCTTGAGGATAGAATTTGTGATATGCTCCTTACTACAAACATGCTGAAACAAGAAATTACTGTTTTCTTTTCCCAAAGTCTGAAAACTGAGATAATACAAAACAAAATATAATTCAGCCTTAACAAAAAAAGCACTAACTTTTAGGACAGAAATATCTCCACAGTGAAGATAAAGCTAAATGTTAACAAAATGGTACAGGCAGTTCAAATATACTAACGGAAAAAAATAATTTCATTAAAAAGTGAATTCCGGTTCCCCAGATGTTTAGAAAAACTACCTTTCACAAAGACCAGTCATCACAGATAAATTTAAAACACCCTTTGGATCCTCTTTTTTTTTTTTTTTTAAGAGGGGAGAAATCTGTAATTTGTTAAAA